TAATATGTAGTTATTTTTTTAATTATGATTTTAAAAAAAAAAAAAAATACAAATATATAATTATTATTATTTAACAATAATAAACTTTACAATCTTTATAGCTTCGGACTTAATAGATTTTGCTTTGCAGTACTCAAAACTATCGCACTTACATATTTATTCATTAATTCATTTTTAATATTTATTAACCATTAAATTTAACAGCCACTTTACACATATAATATGAAGAATTATTCAAAAATAACGGCTTCGCATCTAAACTATATGGCCTTTTTTCGAGGTTTTACCTTTTTACGAGAAAGTTTGTGAAATCGCAGGAAAGCTTAGAGGATTTGTCTTTCCCAAGATAGGGTTGGGGGCACGGGGCACGAGGCATGCCTTTCGGGCATGCCTCCTAGGCATACCTCTAGGCATGCCCTTTTTCAAAAAATTTATATATGTAAAAAAGTTGTCACGTAAAAAATTTGGGGGCATGCCCAAAAATTTTCTCGTGCCCCCAACCCTATCGCAAGAGGGTTTTTGGGATGTAAGTTTAATATTTCGTCATTTTACAAAAATAGTTTTGTCTAACAACACTATGCACAACATAATCATCAAATCGTTTAATTAAGTTCTTGATACACATAAAATTTAAGGCGTTAAAGAAGAATAATGGATTAGCTTACAAACTCTAGCACATAACTAGATCACTTACCAGGGTTTTGTTCCTGTAGAGGTCTGTTTTGCCGATTTGAGTTTCGTCAGAGGTTTCGTCTTTCGTGGAGGTTTCGTCTGGCGAAAGGTTAGGTTTCGTCCTTCGTCATTTTTCAAAAATGGTTTTATCTAACAACACTACACGACACTATTATAACGGATTCAATATTAAAAAGGTCATATGATGTGTAACGGACATTTTTGCCAGTTTTATTATTAACCATATAATGAATTTAATACAATGCATCTGCTAAAAAAAAATCTTACCCAAATAGTCTGTAACGATAACAAAACTTAATATTTATCAAGTCTATTATCTATTCCATTATTTAGTATAACGAATATGCTATATATCGATATGTATCGATAGTTGATATATCGTTATTTATGTCCAATATAAAAGATATGCTTATTTTCAGATGTACTGTACGTATGAGTTGCAAGTACTTTCGGGGTGCTTGTTTTCGGAAGAATACAATAAAACCTTATGGTTAGTGCTAGGATTAGAAAAAGGTAATCTAACTAGAATTATTCCAACTAATTAGAATTATTCCAACTAGAAATTATTCTAATTAGAATTTATTTCAATTAGAATTTATTTTCTAATTATATAGAATTTATTCTAATTAGAATTATTCTAATAAAAATTTATTTTAATTAGAATTTAGCGATGAATTGTTTTTAGAATACAAAAAGGTTGTTTATTAATTGCGTAAATGAAATTGGAAATCGAAGGATCAAATATCAAAGAATTATAGTGGTGCACCAATTTGGTATTCGACCTTCGGTCATAAATTTTCTAAAAAGGTGAAATGCACTAGTTTTATTGAGCAGTTGTACCATGTCTCGTGAGTTAAATAAATCTATTAAAAATTGACGTACGTATGTGCACTATGTACGTACGTACTCGTACGAAGTTGGCACAAACATCAAATTAGGATTTATTAAGTTAATAACAGGATTTGTTTAGTTATTAAAATTAATAAACAAAATTATTACAAGTTTTCAATGTAAAAACCGCCGAATTATTAATGATTTATAATTTTGTAAACGGTGACATTAATTTTATCTTTTCTATCAAGAACTTTCGTTTGAAGAGATGTATTTAATGTTTCACAATGAAAACACTAGATCTTTTTACTGATAACGATAAGAACAATGTAAATTGAACGTAGATTGAATGTTGTGATACAGCTAAAGAATTTAGTTTATACATTTGGAGGAGTTCATTAAATTTGTGTATTTAAGTACGTATGTCAATACGTATGTGCATGTGTTAATTGTATAAAGATCATAAATGGATGCCGTGGGTAAACTTTACATTTATTCTCCTTATTTTCTGCCAAGAATTCAATCGTTTTTCCACATTATTGTTATTGGTTACAGTATCTCAGATTTTTATTTTTTTTGGAAATTTGTGAAATGTTCATCTCACGATTATCGAAACTTAATCTCAAAAGTGCTACCTTGTTTAACCTTAATTACACTGAACTTTTTGTCGATCACTTGTATTAACCAATCTGATCACTACTACTGCATGTACAGTACGTACGTATGTACGTACCTGCTGTATGTACTTTGCTGTGCCCAAAAGAAATCATACAAACAATATCACCAGATATACACTAATAGTTATAATTATGAATAAATACCAGCGGAATTTGGACTTTATAATTCTTACGGATTGTTGGAAATATTTAATTTGAATATCTGTAATATCCGTGCTTTAAAAATTAAGAAAGAAAAACAAGCTATTATGAAGTCCTTCATTTTTGCCATTTTTTTTGCACTTATATTTAATTTTGTAAGTGCCCATTATAAACTTTTAGTACCACCACCTAGAAGTGGTAGTGGCTCAACTTATGGTGCTCCTTGTGGCCAAAATTTTACTACAGTTAATCAGACCACCATTGGCTCTTTTCCTAGTAAGCTTACGATTTAATATCCGGGTGAAGTTATCTTTTTCATCTCTAACAGTTATTTATTATTATAACAGTAAAGGGTAATGTTACACTTGACATGCTTCATGCTACAAATGGTACTTTGTTATTTTATTATTCTACCGATGGCATTAATTTCGTTACTCAAGTAACAGGTAATTATATGATTTGTTTGTCCCTTTCGCATTATTTAGATTTCTACTAATTGTATTATTTTCGTTGTAATCAATAAAGAGTCAAAGAAATATTCTCTCAATGCTGCAGAAAATATAACAATTTTTGTTGATCTGTCCAAAGCTGGCGCAACTGTTGGAAGTCGAGGCGTTCTTCAAGCAGTTTATTATGAGGGTAATGATACTTCTCCAACCAATACAACATTGTACGACTGTGCTGATATTGACATCACTGCAGAAGGAACTTCTCCCTCTGGACCTAGTGGAAGTCAAAAAAATGCTGGTTCCATTAATGCTCCCCACATCATGTTTACTCTTTTTATTGGTTTATTTCTGTTTATTTATTTAGTATATTAAAAATTTAGTAATATCATAATCGTGTTAGGAATAGTAATTAATTCACTTAAAAGATCTTTGTTTTCTATTAAAGAAATGAAATTTTATTAATCTATCAATTATAACATCTTTTGTGTTATCAGAGTGTTCTCAAGCACCTCACACTATGGGGGTTTCAGAATTAATGGTTTAGCATTAGATTTTAGACAAAATAAATGACGTATTTACGTCAAAATATGTGATCCATAAATCCTATTTTTTTAACGAATAAACTTATTTACTTAATCGTTTGCCGGTAGATATTTATCCAAACAAAGCTAATTTTATTAACGTGTTCGTTTATTTAATTTATTGAGTCGGAATTTTAAAAATAGAAGTAGGATTTTTTAAACTCCCACTTATTTTCAAAATAATGGATCTGAGGCAAAGTTTTAATGAGCCGAAAATCCAATAAATTAATTGACATTCAATTAATAAAATATGTAGATGCAGACCACCTTTTTTTCATAGTTGCTTTGATTGGCTTCCACATTCGCATTTCGTACAAGCATTTCATACAATGAATTTTCAGTATACTGTATTAATGCACAACCACTTTAGTTATTGCAGCATCTCGATTCACTTTCAAATTACATCAAGGGGTACTTAAGAACGCCCTTAATCATGAATTGTCACAAAGACCATAAACGATTGTTGTATAAATGATGCAAATTGCTTCATATCTTAAATTTTCACTACAACGATAAAGAAATTTAAATTTCACTTAATAATTTACTTTAATATCAACTTTTTCTATTATTTTTATTCACAAATTGAAATATTAATATATGATACTGTATATGTAATTCTTGACGCACTATTTATTTTGACTGTTTCTTGAAATATCGTGTTTTTAAGATGTGGAGGTGGTTTTTAGTATGTAATGGTTGATCAATCTCATTGAGCTTGTGTGTGTGCTGAATTCAAATGTAATATACGTAAGTACGTACGTACGAACGCTGTGAAAGTCAAATCTACCCCAGAACCGCGCCACAAGATCAATCGACAGAATTTTCAAAATTTTAGAATTTAAGTAATTGTGAAAACTTGGGAAAATTTTATAAAATTTGAGTGTGTGAAAATTAATATATATTAAGAGATGATATTTACCTGGAATAAAGAACAATCCCCCGATAAATAAAGTTTATATCAATAGAATTAGTGACTAAATACCGTGATTCCATATTAAAAGCAATTCTTGAATGTGTGCCAGGTTTGTATGGGAAAATTCAAAACGAACAACCGTAATCGCTTTTTTCTTGAAAAATTGTACCTAAAACTACTCTTCACGCATTAATTAAAAGTTTTCCATGAGCAATTTTGCCACATATGCTCCTAATCTCTAACCATAATAAAAGCCCTAACCTTAACATAAACGAACTTTAAAGAATTTGACTGCGCCACAAACCTAGCACACACATTCAAGAATTGCATATTGCAAGCCTCATAAGGTAATATAGAGCTCTGATCTAACTGTAACACCCTAATTATTCTTGATCGTAGCATTCCATTATTAGGGATAGTGTTTAGTGTAGTATTTTGTGTAGTTGTTTGCTATTATGTGATCTATATTCCAATATTCATCGGCCCGGTGCCAGTTTAGCCCTTTACAACGTACCATTACTAATAACACAAATCATTCGCGTTACAAATATTGTAAATAATTTATTACGTTTCACATTTTATAGTGAATTCTTTATATATAATAAAAAATTTCGACCTATTCGATTATTTGAACTTCAGGTTCAATACCACCGTATAATAAATAATGTTCCTTAAATTTTGAAACAATGTACGTTATTTCTTAATCGGTGAAATTCATATAATATAAATGATAATATTATACAAATAATATAATGTCATTATACCATAAACGTTCTTTTTACGTACGTGCGTAGGAATATAGAAAAAGCTTACATAATTAACCATTTATAATTTTGACTTGTTCATTTTACTATATTTGATTGTATAACGTGATATGTAAAATATATACCTATACATGACTCATTTAAACAACTTAATTAAATCATAGTAAAAAAAGTATCATTTGGTACTTACTGTATATCTCCACTTCCATCTATAGTCATGCTTCTATTTTTTTTGGTTTTTTTGCTTCTAATTCTTTGCCGGTGATCGTCAAAGAACACAGCAAAAGGACTTCAACGAAAGAATCATAGAACTCAGCCCCATGACCAACACAAAACTTACGTGATTTGTCTTTCTATTAGCACAGCTGAAATCAATTTCATGCTTCGCCACGTTCAGAAAATATGCACTATGTTAATTTACCAATAGCAATTGAATAAAAATTAGATTCGGATCATAATATATAGTTATCCAAATGGGGCACGAATTCAAATATAACCCATTTTACAAAAAAAGAATAATAGATTTATCTGTTGTAACAGCATGAAAAATATGTTTATATTAAATAACATAGCACGTGTTACATTGTTACATTGCTGTGAATACAAAATTTTAATCTAATACTATAATTCATTTAATTTTGCCATTTACGTGTTTACGTGTTCTGACTACGTAAATATTTGGGGAATTAACAAATAAAGGCCCGGAAAGTGAAAATAATTACAAATACGGGCCAAATTAAAAATAATTACATTACATATAAGGGCCCAAATCCATTGATGGCTGAAAAAACGTGCTCACGAGATTATTGCGTCACAAAGTACTATGACCAACGATTGCAAAATCGAGATTATAGAATTAGGGGTTGGAATCGGTTTAGTCGACTAAAAAATCTGTATAGTAAACTATTATTATTTAGTCGAATAAACTGATTCCGATTATTTTATTATAGGCATTTAGAATTATCTATATACCGATTATTAGATAAAAGGTTAAAGAAGCACAATTATTTATAAGGCGAAGAAGTTTCAACAGGGTAGCTTTCTAGAACTAAACGAACACTTTCCATATTAGTAAATGTCATGCCAATTCTACTTGACATCATAGTGGTTTGTTATAACAATAATCAATTTTATAAAGAAAATGAAATTTATTAAATTTAAGATTTTTTTTCTCATTTATAATTACTAATTCACAATTGATCGTTACATTTT